CCCACAGAGCCATGCCCCCAGCCACCATTCTTAATCCATTCACTATAGCATGGTCCTACAATCTAATCACTTCTTCAAGGCTTCATCCTTCAATCACCTTAGTAGGATTTCCCACCCTCTTCACGGTCACAGTGGGGGCCAAGTTTCTAATACATAAAACCTGGAGGACACAATTCAAACTTCAATGAGTTTGGGGGGACATAATTCAATCCACTACACCATCCAAACATTTATTTAGTTTACCATGCCATAAAACATTGTATCAGAAACTAAAATAAAGTTTATGAAAACTATATTTTGTCTTTTTAGGCAATACAAATCCTAAAATCCTTATATTGGTATGAACATCCTATACTTGTTATGATTAAATTGTTACCAAAATTAAGTGGAAGTAACTTAGGGGTTAAGCATGAATTATAAACTAAATTAATAAATATTTTTAGAATTATTTCTTATCGAAGTCTCATAAATGTGCATTAATATAGTTCCAAAGTGTTTATATTTTTTCAATAATAACATAATCTAGGATTGTCTATCATAGGCCAGAATAGTAAAGAAAATGACACAATCAATTTTACTTGTGGATAAAAAAACTGACTCTTAGAGTTCTGTATGCAACAAGGGCCACACTATAAAGCAATCTTTCCATATTTTTCTGTGCTGTATTTTTTACTAAACTTCAGTATCAAATCTGATCTATAATTTACTTGAGCAAAGAATAGTATTGAAATGGCAGAGAGGCTAAAATGACCTCTATCTGAAATATGACCAGGGAGCTCTTTTCTTGCAAAAAAGGCAGCCTTGGACTTTTCAGTCTTTTGGACCAGGAGTTGTCCTTCTCTGGGCCTGACCAAAGGAAGCCTACTGCACACTGTGACTTGGCTCTTTGAACCTTATGATAATAACCACACTATACCAAATTCATGCATATGAAATAAATTTAATGGCTGAGCTAGTTTACTACTTAGCCTCTTCCCCCTATCTTCTTTTCTGCCATCTCCTTTTCATTGGATGCTTCAACCTCATTAGTATTTCAGCAAAAAACTGGATCCTGTCCATCATTTTGGTTGTTGCTTTCTTTTTCCTGGCAGACAGAGCCAAACGTTTCAATAGAGTAAGTGGAGAGGAATACAACACATTCAGAATTTATGAAAGACCTTATTTACCATCAAAGTGAAGGTTTCCAGTACTCCAGTCCTGTTTTCTTATGCTCCTATGTCTTTGATGAGGAATTAAGAACTCCAGCCAGGGCTACAGAAGACACCGAGAGGTGCCTGGCAGAAGGCACTACATAGTGTCCTGAAGTTGTTCATTAATTATAGTGATATTGAAGAGTAGACCAAGGAGTAGAAGAGTGGTTGGAAACTATATCATAATAATTTCTACAGGGGCACTTCTGAGAGAAATCCAAATCTGCACAATTAAAATGAATATCTCTCTGTTAGTTTCCATTGCACATTTTTTTTTTTTGGCAAAGCATTCATTATAACTTGCCTTTCTTTTCATAGTTACTTGTACTTCTGACCCTCTCCTTGACCTAATAGTAAGTCTTTAGATGGTGGTTCTCAAATGTCAGTGAACCTAAAAATAATCTGAGGACCTTGTTTAAAGAATCTAGGGCTTACATCTCTAAGATTCTCATTCAGTAAATTTGAAATGGGGCTCAGGAAGGTTCATTTTAACAAGACTTCAGGTGATTGTAATGCAATGGTCTGTGGCCCACCTTGAGAAATATTTGCCTAGAGATCAAGGTCTCTGTGGTCCTCACGCCCTAGCACTGTGTAGTGACCATAGAGGCCCCCAGTGCATGTTTGTGGAATTGAGGCAAGTGCTTTGAATGGGGAAAACCCCACTGGTGATTCAAACTCAAGTATACTGCTCTCAGAAGGGAGACTAGAGTTCTAGTGGGTTGTGAATAGACTAATTTTTTTGATAGAAGGAAACTGTTTAAGCAGTTCTTTAATTGGGGACTATTGGTAAGAGAGAGATTCTGTTTTATCTAGAACTCCTGATAAAACTGCTTTTTTTATTTACCTTTTCCTTGGGGAAAGGTGCAGACCTGGGGAGGAAGAAATGCATTCCTTCCTTGCTGCCTGTAGTACATGGAGAGAAGGTTCAGTCGTGTTTGATCTTCCCACTCATACTGGAAGTGTGCTTCCTGTGTCTTCCGTCTCTTCTGTTTACTGTTTACCAGGTGCTGTGAGCTCTGCTCTTTAACATGCGTTGCCCTTTGTTTTTTTGCCACAGGGTGTGAAGCCATCTAGGTTATTTGTCCTTTGCTCTTGGCTACCTCTAAACAGCCATCCTCAAAAAGAGGAGAATCACATCTTTTCTATCAGCTCACACACGTCATACAAAAACTCTATCTTTAATATTCAACTCTGTACCCAAAGATAAGTACAATCCATTATGTTCCAGCAACAACAAAAAAACTCCAAAAAATAAAACAAAACCAAAACCAAAAATGCTGTATCTTTAATATAAGAAGAAAAGCACAATTCTTTGTTTCATTGCACTCTATAGTCAAAAATTTGGTCATCATCTAGAAAACTGATCATTATTTTAATGTAAATATTATGGAAAGCATCTTTATTTTTTAGAGTTTTGTTAATGATTTCAACTATTGGAACAAATTAACACACCACTTTCTCTCACCAAAGTCGTTCATGCCTCAGTTTATTTAAATGTCACTAGTTGTGGACAGCCTAAGTTGCTCTAAGTGGGAAAAGATGATAAAAAATATATGTGGATAATGTCAAGATAATGTGTATGCGAATCGTTTTGTTTGTTATATTTATTGAAACATTCAGTGCTCAGTAGGTCCTGGTTCTGTTTCCAAGTGAGAAAAGGCAGTAAACATAAACATTAAAATAAAAAATGATCTGTGTGCCCATTTTCTAAACCTGAGATCATCTACCGATCTGTTTTTTGACGAGCATTCAATAACACCTTTATCTTTTTAAATCACTGCAGCTCTTAAGAATATAACTGGCACAAATATCCTTGCCTCTCTGTGAATTTACATACCATCTTGATGTTGAAAAAAGTTATTGACGTGTAAAGGGTCTCTCTACCAAACAGCACAGTGCAACGGTGATTTCTATCCTGTCTGGAGTTTATTGTATGGGCAGGAGCTGTCACTTTCCAATAGTATCTTCATTTATTATGCTAATTGACTTTCCAAGTGCTGACAGGAGGGCGTCTGCCCTGTGAAATATTCTCAGTTGGGGGGTTTTAAGCAAACCTGTTTTGTGCCTGAATAAAACCCAAAATCAATGTGTTTCTTTTCAAAGACGGGAGGGTCAATACCGTGGTTGTTTTTGTTCCCATCTAGTTATGTAACCGTGGGGACTTGTTTCTTTGCTTTCAGGATTTGTACAAAACCCATTAAAGCTAAACAATAGGCAAGAGTCTCAGGAGCGACCCTGGAGCTGTGTCTTGGAGTATGTCTTCCTAAGTTTGGGAACCTCCAAGTAGTTCCATCTCAAGTGGGGTGTGTGTATGTGTTGGAGTATGTCTTCCTAAGTTTGGGAACCTCCAAGTAGTTCCATCTCAAGTGGGGTGTGTGTGTTGTGTGTGTGTGTGTGTGTGTGTGTGTGTGTGTGTTTAGTTAGCTGGCAGGCAACACTTTCCCAGGGCTGTGTGTGTGTGTTGAGTTTGTGTGTGTGTTGAGTGTGTGTGTGCGTGTGTGTTTAATTAGCTGGCAGGCAACACTTCCCCAGGGCTGAGTGTGTGTGTGTGTGTGTGTGTGTGTGTTTGTTTTGTT